CGCTGCAGAGCATAATATCATTTGCATAGAGCATGCAGCATGGGGCTGCTTCTTGCAGATCCTTAGTCATAGCGTATGAGCCATCGAAAACAGAAATGGACTCAGTGCGCATTGTTGGTGGACTCCTTCCCGCAAACAGGGAACTCTTCCGTTTCGTTTCATGTCATTCTAACTATCGCTGTCACTCTGTCATACACGCCTTTGGTACACCTAACATTTTTCTAGCACAAGCTTCTTTTTCATGCTCCACAAGATTGCTTGCTTAGCGATTCGGACAAAAGCTTTCGCCAAATTTAGGAGCAACATGTGATTGTCCTGTATGCCTTCTCTGTATGTTTCGATAACTGATTTTAAAGCGAACATGGTATCCGTGGTTGATCTGCCTCACATACAGCCAAACTGATTCGTGGAGATGTCGGCCTCCCTCAATTTTTTGTCAAGCACCCTTTCATATACCTTCATGGTGTGACTAAGCAGTTTAATCTCCAGGTAGTTTTCACAGGCGAGCATGTACCCTTTCATTTTGTGCAGTGGCATCAAAATATTCTGCCTCTATGATTTCGGCATTTTCTGACATTCCATAATTTTGCTAAATAGCGCGCAGAGACAAGCCACGCCCTTTTTGCCCCAGTGCCTTCCATGCTTCTGTGGGAACTCTGTCCGGCCAAGGGTCTTCTTATTTTTCATTCTGCTCAAGGCCTGTTCCACTTCTTAAGGGTGACATCTTTTAGACTAAGTCCTGGTTTTGTGGGATCTCTTCCACGACCTCTCTTGGATGTTGTTCGTTTAGTAGCGCTTAGAAGTGCCTTGGCAATCGGCTGCGAATATTTTTTCATCAGTCAGCCCCATTCCGCTTTCGTATTCGATGCACTTCACTTTACCGACGATTCTTGTTCTCCTTTGTCTGGCTTTTGCTATGCGATGGATGTTTTTCTCTCCTTTTTTCGCTGCCAGTTTTCCATAAGCTCTTGCATGCTGTAGGATTAGCTTGAGCGACGATTTTCTTTGCCTTCTTCTTCGATATAGCATATTTTACTCTGCCCTTCGCGCTGTTTGATAGTTATCATTTTTGAACAACTCTTTCTTCTGTTTTACAACCGCCTGCACATCCGCATTTTACCACCACGTTTCTGGATGTGTTGTGCCCAGTGTTTCCCCACAAGAAATCTAGCGTTCTCTATGACTGTGCTGGCCAATCGCTCCTACACTTCGTCCACTTTCCTATTAGAGTTCTTCGTCATTTTCGCGCAAGTTTCATTTTGAACGTTTCTTTCAGCTTCCCTTCGAGCATCGACAACTGTATCTTTGGGACTGTCGCCGAGCTCACCGACTGAATGGGCTATTTTAGAGAGAGAGAGAGGTCAATGACCAATAGCTGGTGCTGGATTGTAACAGTTTTTTCCCGGTATAACTTTGCAATCAATGAAGTTATTAAGTTCGTCCCTTCAGAGAAGGAAGTAGTTGATCTGAATTTTCTTTTGCCCTCTCTTTTAGGTTAGCTTGCAGATAGTTTTCTCTTTTCTGGAAGAACGCATTCGTCAGAGCCAGGTCATATGCAACTGCTATTTAACATACCATATCCATTTCTGCCATGGACTGTCCTAACCCCTTCGATGTTTCTCGACGTGCCCATTAAAGCCACCTCCGATTATCACCTTTTCGTTTCGCGGTAAGTTCTGCAGTGCACTATCTAGGTTCTCTGAGAATTTCCACTTTCTGGCTTCATTCTGGCCAGTCTGAAGGGTGTAGGAACCTATATTTAAGATATCACAACCCTTTTACCATTACCAGATTCAGGAATTACTACAAACGGGGGTCTATTTATCTGTTAGAACTTATAATGAGGTTATCTGCAAGAAAGGTAAGATCTGTCATTTTTTAACAAACCGGAAGAGGCGGTGGTACAGTGGTGAAAGGTCGGCATCTAACTTCAAAGGATCTGAGCTGTAAACCGGGAAAGAAAGAGAATGTCCTTTAACCGCAAATTCTCTTGACTACTGAATTCATCCCCACGTTGGTTGAATGCAACCGTCTGAAAAAGTGGTGGCAAGTTTATGCCGTGCGAAAAACAGGAACAACATGGTGTCCTGATACCTGGCCATTCTAAAATGGATGAGAAGAACGGACATATTATCGGATTCGATGTTCTTTTACTGTAGGCCGACTTGACCCACCCGATAGCTGAGCGTCCAATGTGATGATTAACGCAAGGTGTGAACCCTTTTGTTGTTAAACATGAACTAACACTTTTCACACACATTGGTCATTCAAAAAACACTGAAATGAACTTCGCCAGATTACCACAATGACCTACTTGTAATGTACCGCATCAACGTGATTCAATCTCAGCTCAGGATAAGATGATTTAGCAATCGCTGCGTAAAACCGTTGATCTAAAGCCATTGGAAGCACGGCATAGCCACTGTAGTCAACATGTTCACCTGCAAATCGAAGTCCCGTCGCTTATTGGAATACCAGCATGAATACGTCAGCAGTAAAACTTGCCGATGAGGTTAACGCGGCCCGGAGCTTCAACGACCACTTCCGGAGGACGATAATACTCCCCGCTGAAATGATAGCAGACATCCTGCAGCAGACTCGAAATAGGACGCTTCGTATTGACAGACATTGTCGTTGAAAAACTGGTAACTGAAAAACACATCAAAACTTGAAAGCATAAGACGACATAGGAATACAAAAATAAGATCAGTCAGACAGCAACGTCGACGAAAACACAAAACCGCAAACAACGTGCAGAAATACTTTACTCACGACAAATGCACATACATATATTATACGGTGCATAGCACTAACAGAGAATACGATCGCAAAAGAGCGCAGCGGCAGCGTGCGTTTATAGGATACAGTGCGATAGGACGTTATTCGATGAAACCGACTGAAAACAAACGGAAAGTAATAAAATAAAAACGCAGCGACTATAGCAAAGTCGGTATATGTAAGTGAAAATTAAAGACCGTGCTTTGAAGAGAACGAAACACCTGGACAATGTCAGTGACAAATGTGAACGTCCGATGGATGAACCTGGAACTGGTACAAGATGGATTCGGTAAGCGTTAAACCAAATATATAGAAACCGACAAGAATGAAAAACGATGCGACCAGCTGCGCAGCCCAGTACTGGTAAGTGGTGAGGATAGATTCCAAATGAAAAGTAGACTTCAGCAAACAAATACCTGAAAATAACCAGTTCTGATTCGCAAAAACAGAAAGTCGCAGAAAAACTTTCAGAAGTGTCGTCAAAAAAATTTTCCAAACTGTTTATGAAGAGCAAACGCCGTTCAGATCGATTAATTTTAACAGTCAGTCACTTAATACTGCCCAATCTTTTGCTTCAATAGCTCAACACTATTTGCGT